AATAGCTGAGATGCTGGCTCCAGTATTGATAAGGAGGCTGACCCTGTGCTTAACCCAGGGCTCCTCTGCTTTTATGGTGGTCACAGAAGACTGTATGTGAGGCCCCAGTACCCGTCATTGGGTGGGAGGCTCTGACCTCATTTCCCCTGAGAACCAGGGACAGTAAGCCTTCCAATGTTTTCCCCAATAAATGGGGCAGGGTCCCAGAGGTAGCTTTCTCTGGGGGCACTCCCTCCTAAAATGGCTACCTTGTCCACATTGAAAACATGTCCTTGGGTTTGGATTTTGCCCAGGGGGAGCCTCTCTGAGCGCTGTGATCAGAGCCTCCTGCCGCTTATCCTTTCTCTTTCCCTTTTCCAGGTCCTTCCTTTCTTTTTCTAAGTCCCTGTTACAATATACAGATGTGGCTACACGGACCAATTGGTCCAGATCTCTGCTCCCTTCAGCCACCAGTTTCTGAAGCTTTTTACAGATATCTGGTGCTGTGTTAGAAATTTATATTTTAGGACAACTTCCTCTGCCTGTGACTCTGGTATAATGTTGGTATGCTTTTGTAAAGCATCCTTTTGTCTCTGTAGGAAAGCTACTGGAGTTTCTAAGGGTCCTTGCTGTACAGCCATGACTTGGGAGTAATTAAGAGGTTTTATCTTGGCTCTCCTTAGACCCTCAAGAATGTAGTGGATGAAATGGTTATGGCTCCATTCATCCTTGTCATTTTCAGGGTCCCACTTAGGGTCATATCTAGATACTGCCTGATCTCCTGTTGGAATTGGGAATCAAGGTTCCCTTTTAGGTATCCAATGCTTTTGTCTTTCTTCTCCCTCCCCCTCCTCCTCCAGTGAAGGTCCAGTCTGAGACAGGCCTGTAGGGCTGCTTTTATCTAAGTGCTAATTGTCTCCAGCTGTGACTGCCTGCTCTAGAACCCACTGTTTCTCCAGAGAAGCGAGGGTCTGAGATAGCAATAGCATCACATCTTTCCAGCTCAGTTCAAAGTTTTGGCTGACTTCTCTAAATGCTTGGATGTACTGATCTGGGTTTTCTGTGTAATTTCCTAAATCTTTTTTTATTTCTTTAAGTTCACTGACTCTAAAAGGAACATGAGCTTTGTCCCCTCCAGGAATTAACTGGAGGTGTTAGAGTCCTGTGGGATGATGTCAGGTGTGTGAGGTAGCTGGGTAAGGGGGAAGGGGGGAGCTGATGGAGCATTAGATGGTTGTTTTTTTTTTTGCTCAAGGGAGTTTGGGGGCTTTTTGCAAAGAGTTACCATGGTCTGGGTATCTATCCTGCATTTCTTTAGCCATCCTGGGTGGTCTCTTAGGAAAAAGAACAGTTGAACATATGGAACTTCAGTCGACTTTCCTTCCTTTTTACAAAACATATCTAATTGAAGAATGGTATTATAATTAATGCTCCCTCCTTCTGGCCATCTTTCCTCATCTCCTAGAGGATACTGTGGCCAAGCCCTGGGTGCAGTAAAACTTGAGTTGCTTTTGCTGAAGACTTTCTGGATCAAGATCTTTCCAATGTTTTTAAAAAAAGCAGGCAAGGGGGGATCCTTCCTGGATCCTTGAGGCTTGATTTCTAAAAAGGGAAACAAGGGAAAACTGGTCACTTTAACAGATGTTTCTCCTTTTATCTAGGTGTCCCCAGATGAGGAGAAACTCTAGTGGGAGAGGGCGTCCTGCTCTCCCTTACTCCTTCCACTGCCACTTGTGGGTAAAGCTGTGGAGCATTTACAGATATCTCAGTTGCACCCACCCCCGAGATGATCTTTGACCAATCTCTCATCTATTTTGACTTGCCTGTTTGCCCTGCTACCCAAGTAGGCCTAGCTCTCCTCTTCCAGCTGAATGCTTGTAATTAAAAAAATAACTCTTATCAAAGTAGCCAAGAGGGCTTGCATGGCCAGAAGGAGAACCCCTTTAGAGGCATGGATGGGGACTCTTGATGAAGTAGACTTTTGTTCCCCTATATGTCCTGTGAGGCACATATGCTTTCTATGAAAGGAGAGAGCATCTGGAGGCTTTTGCTCTCATAAGGGGCAAAAACGGAGATCTGAGGTTTTTGCCTTCTAACTGTTTTTTTTCCTTTCCCTGAGTGCAGGTTGTGGAACCTGTTTAACCAGTTAATCTGATGTTTGACAAACACAGTTAAGCCTAAATTGGAGACTATGACTTTCTGATGCCTGTAGGGATTTTTCCCAAACTCCCTGAAGAAAGAAGCTCACTGCTATTTACAGCAAAGGCTGGGAGGGGGCACTCATCCTGAACTGCTTGGGAAACAGGAAGGAGAGGCTGAGGGTTGGGGAAAAAGAGAATTTCCAGGCTCAACGCATGAGAGATTATTGGTTACCACTGCTGTCCAGGTCGATCCCGCACAAGGGCAGTACTGGAGCACTGGAAGCAAGAGGTGACCTCCACTCTCAGGCCAGGGAAACCATGAAGAAAGCATGAGAGATCTGATTGTCTGTTTGCCACGGACCTGGCTGGAGGAATGCAAGACTTAGCTGTCTCAGGGCAGGTCAGGAAGTTGCATCTCCAGCCTTTGGATGATACCGGGGAGTACATGGGCCAGAACACCTTTTGTGGCTTGAAGACAAACTTTCCTTTCCACCGGCTGTTCTCGGACCTCCCCTTAAGCTGGTCAGATCTTGAAAGAGAGAGTTACCATTTAAGGAGAGGAAAAAAAAAGCCTCGGTGCACTGAAGTCGAGTTCCGCCCACATAGCATTGGCAGTGCAGTACAAACCCCTGCCTGGCCTCTGAGTTTCCTCAGATTGCCTGCCATACAGCTGTAGTGGGCTCGGACCTTTTCCTCAGTTTCCCAGGGAAGAAAGCCTCCTTAACAAGACAGAGAGAGAGAGGGAGAAAAGGTTGACCTGAGAGTTCCACCATAGCTAGGCTGTGGTGGGGGGTCTCTCCTGGAAAACAGACTCTACAGGAGTGCCGGACGCTCACAGTCACATTCCTAGGCAGTCTTTCCCAGTTTGACACAACCTATACCGACTTCAGGTGATGACTGGTCCCTTCGTGCATCGCCAAATATGATGCACGGATGACACGCGCAGGAATTTCAGGTGCTCGGGGTTCTTGAGCCCGCTCTGAGAATGAAAGCACAGACTCTAACAGCAGAGGTTGGAAAGATTTTATTTGTAGAGAATTTAGTTGGATAAAAGAGAAGAGAAAGACTGCATGTTGGAGAATGAAGGGGGACCCGGAAACCGGTGATCCCATGGGCCAGGGTAGGGAGTGGGGTTTTATAGCCTATTTTTTTGCATTGCCTGATGGCGGGTGATGCCTTTCAGATGCAAACAGGAGTTTCCTAGGGAGGAGAAGTGTCTCCTTGACCTCTGGCAGTCTGTCCTTCAAGTCCTTCAGACAAATGTGTTTCACGCACCACACCAGGTGGAATTTGATTCAGTCTATTCTACCTCCTATTATTATTTCCCATATTTCATTATTTCAAAACATTTTTAGAAGGCTGAAGGACTGGTTCAAGCATTAACAGCACCTGCCTAGCAAGCATAAGGCCCTGAGCTCAAACCCCAGTGCTGCCAAAAAAGAAAACAAAAAAAAAACCTGCCTACTGAAAACATTTAGAGCCAGGGGCCAGTGGCTTGTGCCTGTAATCCTAGCTACTCAGGAGGCAGAGGTCAGGAGGATCAAGGTTTGAAGCCAACCTGGGCAAATAGTTTGGACCAACGTAGCTTGAAAAAAGTCATCATAAAAATGGCACATGCCTACCAAGCCTTATACCCTAAGTACTGAAAAAAATGCAAGGCAGCACTGGAAAGGATGAGACAAGAAGATTACAAGTTCGGGGCTGGAGGAGTGGCTCCACGGTACAGCTCTGGTCACAATCCAGTACCTCTAGCATGCTGGCAGACACATCTACTTAAGGGGACATATAAACCCCAGCTATTTCTGGCCATTCACCTTGAAAGGAATGGCCAATATCAGAGTTGCTGTCAAGTCACAGAGCCATCTTCAAAGTACCCATGAAAACTCCATCACCTAATAGGGGCTTCTACTACTACCACTGAGAGTAACCACAGAGGATAGACTCTAGTCTGAATTTCCACAGGGATCACCACTCTTGAAAGGTCTACACAGAAAGCAGAACCCTCAGGCTCTGAAACAGTATGCTTGTATCAAAAGTGTGTAATAGAAGCAAATAGAGACACAGGGACATTACACTAAAAATCCAAACTGTAATGAAACTCGGGACTATTCAAAAAACTGACATAGGAGAGAAAGGCCCTTGCAGTGTCTCACCCCTATAATCCTAGCTACTTGGGAGACTGAGATCCAGAGGTTCACAGTTCAAGTCCAGTCCCCAGGAAATAGCCTGGGAGATCCTATCTCGAAAAAATCCAACACAAAAGGTGTTGGTGGAGTGGGTACAAAGCATGAAGTCTGAGTTCAAACCCCAGTACCAGGAAAGAAAAGAACAAGAGCAATTGTGTATGGGATGAAAGAGGAGCTGGTAACACTGTAAGGCACCTGCGCTGCCCAAGAAGGTCATTATCAACAGACGGGAATCCCGATCACTTGTACATGGATTTTGGTCTGTTTTCTTTCCCACAGTACTGGAGTTTGACTCAGACTTTGGGCTTGCTAAGCAGGCACTGTACTGCTTGATCCACCTCACTCTGTTCCTTTTGGAGATGGGGTCTCCAGAACTATTTGCCAAGGGTGGCATCCAACCACCATCACCCGGACCTCAAATTCACAAGTAGCTATAATTACAGGCAGGAGCCGATGTCTGGTTTTTGATAACTGCAATTACTTTTAAAAAGTTAGTAAACAAGTATACCCCATCTCCTAATGGAGGGAAGACAGCAAAAGCTCATAAAAAACCAAATAATGGGAATTGAGAAAAAGATGGAATCCAAACCAAAAACCCCAATGAAAACATGTATGAAACAGCTACAAATCTGGCACTAAACAGCCCCAATACAGCAGCAGTCACTCGATAGGTAAATGGTCAGTGGGTCCACACCAGTACGGAGATGATGAGAAGGCTGAGCATGTGGGTCAGTAGTGAGAGCTGGCCTAACACGTGCGAGGTCCCGGGTTCGATCCCAGCACCAGGACTAAAAAAAAACAAAAAACAAAAGGCAGTGCCAGATCCAAGGGACATCCGCCCACTGTCAGAAGCCCGGGCCCAGGACCAGGTCACGTGGAGACGCCGCTTCCACCATCAGGAAACTCGAGGCGCTCAGGGTCTGCGTGAGATGGGGGACAGGGGACCCCAAGGACCCCACTCCTCCCGCACGGACCCCGCGGCCACTCGGGAACCTCCCGCCACCTCCGCCGGCACCGCGCGGTGCGGAGGGACAGAGGGGCTCCGACCCTGGACGCAGGTCGCCGCACGGGGACAGGACCCTGCCCTGTCCCCTCCTGCACGTCCATGGCGGATTCTGCGGCTGACTGGCAGCCAGCCCGCTCACAACCCTCCCATTGCTCTCCACACAACCTAACGCTCACCATGGCCAGCTTTCTGCGCGTGCTGCTGTCCTCCAGCGGCTCCTGGGGTCACAGCAGGCCACAGCGCGCAGACACCGAGCCGCAAGGCTGCTCAGTACAAAGGCGGCCGCCAAAGATGGCGGACCTGGCAAGCGGAAGACTGCGGGGGGCGGGTCGCTGTCCGCCGCCACTCCTGATTGGACAGCTCCTGCGGCTGCCCGGGGATTGATTGGCTAGTGATCCAGGACCCGCCCCATCCCTCATTTCCTAGGTGAAGCCCAAATGGTAACGGTCACATCGCAGCACAGGCCTCCCCGGTCCAGGCTTCCTCCTGGGCGCCCGCCTGGGGGACATTTGCATTGAAGCTGAACGCGCTCCTGGCTCTGCAGAGCGACCACCTGCTTCTTCCTCCTGGAAATGGGGTCAGGAGTGGGAATGCCACACTCTGGCCCCAAGCGGACCACCTAAGACCTCAGTGAAGGTGGACTGCCCAGGCCAGGCCACACTGGAACAGAGGGACAGCCTCATGTTGTCACGCTTAAGCAATCTGAGATGAGGAAGCAGACTCCATGGCCAAGGCTTTCTCACCTCTTATCATAGTCCTCCCATTTTAAGTCAAGAAAACAAAAACGCAGGTGGTGCATTTAGTTCAGTGGAAAAAGTGCTTGCCAGGCAATGCAAGCACTTGAATTTGGTTCCCAGCACTGGGGGAAAAAAACACCAACAGAGAAATATAATCATTCATTCCATGGAGAAATTGAAGACGTCGCTGCAATATTCTACCACGGCATCAAAAGGAAAACTTATTTGTTTCTTTTTGTGGGCTTGAACTCAGGGCCTTCACCTTGAGCCATTCCACCAGCACTATTTTTGTGAGGGTTTTTTTTGCGATAGGGTCTTGCAGAACTATTTGCCCAGGCTGGCTTCAAACCGTGATCCTCCTGATCTCTGCCTCCTGAGTAGCTAGGATTGCAACTGTCGCCCAGTGAGGAAAGAAAAACTTTTGAACCAACCCAGACAGGCAGCCAGTCTCACAAATAATTGTACACACTTTAGGTCTCACCCTAGACATCACCCCCCTGAAAGCAGGATCACTTCTCAAACTGAACCACGAGTAGCAGAGGGCAGAGAAATACCTTTACTCTGAGTCACTGCTCACTCTCAGCACCTTCAGTATTGCCTTATTGAACGAGGTAAAACACACATTTGTTTGGTCTATAAGTAAATAAAAGCAGGAAACGATCGGAGAATATAGAAGAGGCTGTGAAACTGCCTAGGGTCAGGGAACTGGTGGCATTTTGCCTGGAGGGCTTTGAAGGACCAAGAGGAGTTACCCAAGGGATGTAAGATTAGCATTCTGGAATGCAAATTAAAACCACACTAAGATTCCACCTCACCCCTGTTAGAATAGCCATCATCAGCAATACCACCAACAACAGGTGTTGGCCAGGATTTGGGGAAAAAGGAACCCTCTTACACTGCTGGTGGGAATGTAAACTAGTACAACCACTCTGGAAAAAATTTGGAGGCTACTTAAAAAGCTAAGCATTGATCTACCATTTGATCCAGCAATACCACTCTTGGGGATATACCCAAAAGACTGTGACACAGGTTACTCCAGAGGCACCTGCACATCCATGTTTATTGCGGCACTATTCACCATAGCCAAGTTATGGAAACAGCCAAGATGCCCCACCACTGATGAATGGATCAAGAAAATGTGGTATCTATACCCAATAGAATTTTATGCAGTCATGAAGAAGAGCAAAATGGATGGAATTGGAGAACATCATTCTGAGTGAGGTTAGCTTGGCCCAAAAGACCAAAAATCGTATGTTCTCCCTCATATGCGGACATTAGATCAAGGGCACACAGAACAAGGGGATTGGACTTTGATCACATGATAAAGCAAGAGCACACAAGGGAGGGGTGAGGATAGGTAAGACACCTAAAAAACTAGCTAGCATTTGTTGCCCTCAACACAGAGAAACTAAAGCAGATACTTTAAAGCAACTGAGGCCAATAGGAGAAGGGGACCAGGAACTAGAGAAAAGGTTAGATCAAAAAGAATTAACCTAGAAGGTAACACACACGCACAGGAAATCAATTCGAGTCAACTCCCTGTATAGCTATCCTTATCTCAACCAGCAAAAACCCTTGTTCCTTCCTATTATTGCTTATACTCTCTCTACAACAAAATTAGAGATAAGGGCAAAATAGTTTCTGCTGGGTAGCGAGGCGGTAGTGGGGGAGAAGGAGGGAGCAGGGCGATAAGGGAGGGGGTGGGGGGAAGGGGGGAGAAATGACCCAAACATTGTATGCACATATGAATAAGATAAAAATTAAAATAAATAAATAAAAAAGATCAGCATTCTGGGCTGAGGGAGCAGATTGAACTTGGTCTGGAAGTTAGCTGAGCACGGGCAGAGGGGAACCTAGAAATAGTGATGGAGATGGGGGTTTGCATCATCAGGGCCCTGATTTTCCCACCATTCAGTGTCTTTGCACACTTACAGCACAGGTTTACACCTGTGTAAACGTGCAGGGGCATGTCCCAGAGTGAGGCTGGATGCCAGCTGGAATGAGAAGCAATTCCTTGAGTTCCAGAGAGGTCTATTCCATCCTGGTTGTGCATTTCATGAGAACCACAGTCTACCTCATGGGTATTTATTGATAGTATGTCTCCTTGGCTCAGTAGAAATGTGGAAGGGTAAGAGAAAGGGACAATCTGTCAACCAAAAAATAGTGGCCTTCATGACATCATCCTTTATTGATGCTTCAGTATCTAGAGGCCAGAGGGAAAATGGACCCAGGGCTCAAGCACAGGAGTTGAGTTGGCATAGGCCAGGGGTGGAAACTTCTCGTAGACCAGGTGTCCACCTGAGAGGAAGTACTTCTAGTGACTTGGTGGCACACCCTGACACAGTGCTCACAGCTATGGGTAGTATTCATTCCCCAAGTTTCCCATTTCTGTTAAAAGACACACATGAATGTGCTCTCTGGATCTAAAATGCTCCTGAATATATAGAGTGGTTCTTGAACCCACTTTTAAGGAAGCGTGTAGGACAATACGTCCTGCAGGCTAACTCTCAGTGAGGGAACTGGATTATCATGCTCAAATTCCTGTGTGAGGGGAGCAAACATAAGGGGGATTAAACAGCAGAAATGGCTCTGGCATGTAAAGGAAAGGAATGGCAGAAGTAACTTAGTCTTAGATAAAAGAGCATTCTTAAAGACAAACATCTAGCCAGGCACTGGTGGCTCATGCCAGTAATCCTAGCAGAGGATCAGGACAATCTTCAAAGCCAGCCTGGGCAAATGGTCCTATCTCATGAAAAACCCATCACAAAAAAGGACTGGAGGAGGGGCTCCAGGTGTAGACCCTGAGTTCAAGCCCCAGTACCACAAATAATAATAATGATTTAAATAAAAGACAAACTCTAAAGAGATAAATATAATATAAACCCCTTAAAGCAGGTTTAAGGACAGGATGGACTAACAAAGCCTTTCTGGAATGCCCAGTCCAATAAGGCAAGGCCCTCCTGTAACTTCCAGTCCAATAAGGATGAGGTAATTAGACAGCCAAATTCTAGATCTGGCTTTAAAATACAGTAGGAAGTGTCACAGTCAGGCCCAATATTATCTCATGGACTTCAGCTATTTTTTGGCTTAACTCTTTCACTAAGTTCCACCCATCAGTGTGCTCTGCTATTCTTTCAATAAACTTTTTGCTTTCTTTAACTCTCTACTCCTGGTCCAGTTTCTTCAATCATCAGCTACACCAGGACACGAACTCAGGGAATAATACTCTAGTATCATTGCGGAGACTGGCCTTTGAACTCAGGGGTTTAAGCTTGCAAAGCAGGCGCTCTACCACTTGGGCCACACCTCCAGTCCATTTTGCTTTGGTTATTTTGGAGTTGGGGTCTCTTGACCTATTTGTCCATGTTAGAAATCTTCCTGCTCTTAGCCTTCCAAGTAACTAGAATTGCAGGCATGAGCAACTGGGACCAGAGGAGTCTACTCAGTTCTTTTTTCAAAAGAAGACAGGAAACGTGCGAAGGCAAACAATGGAGCCCAGGGCAGGAACTGGATACACACACAGCCATGCAAATGAACCTGGTAAGTAACACTGAGTGAGCAAACCAAAGCTAAGATACTCTGTAGTGTAATTCCATCTCAGCCCATTAAAAATAAGGGTACATGAAACTGTTGTGATGATGCAGTAATGATGAGCAGGAATAAAATCCCCCTGTAACAGGGTCCCTCAGCATTAGCACTAGTGCCATTTGTGGTGACTAGGAACAGTCCCCCTTGTGGTGGAGCCTGTTGTGTGCATGGGATGATGTTCAGCAGTGTCCTCGGCCTCCACACACAAGATACCAACAAAAGTCACACCTGCTCCACATCAGGAGAAGCAAAGCTATCTCCAGATATCCACCTGGCCCCCAGGACAAGAATCACAGCTCATTGAAAACCATTGACTTAGGAGCTGCAGGGGGCACCTGGGCTGGCTGAATGACAAGACACCTGAATGGACAAGCCAAGACCCCAGGCAGCCTCCCAAGCTGGAGGACTCATCTCTTCTGTCTTCTACCCTAACCCAACTGAGTGACTGTACTGAAACCACTCGTCCTCTGGCCTTGAACCATCTCCCTCATGGCCACCTATTCCATGACATGGCAAGGCCAAATGGCAGAAGGTGCTCCCTGCTTGATGCTTAGGTGAAACCATGGTTAGGTGTAGGCACCAGACCAAGGTTCACCTTGAACTTTAGCTGAACTTGATCTTTCCTGTGCCATTGCCTATAAACCATTGCCATTAACCTCTTCCTGGAAGCCAAGCAGGAAGAGCTGGCCTCCAGAAGTGGAGAGCACAGGAACAGTTTTAGAAATGTAGCCTCCACTTCCTCCTCCAGTGCAACACAAAAACTGTCTCCTTCCTCC